ATTAATCTCACTGTTTTTATTAATCTCACTGTTTTTATTAATCTCACTGTTCTTATTAATCTCACTGTTTGCTTAATCACTCCTTGCTGAGCTAGCCACAGATTTAGTTTCTGTGCTTGCAGTTAGCCTGTGTAGTTCTGCTGGAAGCTTTTATTTCCAATACCTCAGTCCCTTCTTGCACTGCTTCCAGCATTGGACTGCCTATGTAATCTCGTACAGCTCTGCCTGTCATCTTACACTTAGACTGTAAACTCTTTAGGGACCGTGACATTATGGTATGGCTATACAGCCCACACTGTGTGGGTGCACTTGTTTGTAGGTACTGTGACATACAGATAATGAAATATCATTATTTACTACCTTTCAAAAAAGAGTTGATATCAGGACTGGTAACAGAATCATATCAGAGATCATGCATAACATGTTACAGAGTAGTAGCTTGAGATTTTGTCCCTCTGAGTATTAAGTTAAATTCAGGAAAAAATATAAGTATAAAGATATAAAAACATCTTGTTTACCACTTGGCAAGAGAGATTATTGTTTGTTGAAAACAAAAACCAGGGTGAGATCAGAGGCCGTGTTCTCCAGCAGACAGGCGATTTGGCACTGCAAGGGTTGCCTCTAGACAGCCAAGGAATACACTAAATTTTCTTTGTCTTTCTGAATATTATATAAAATGTGTGGGGTTTCCTTCTTCCTTATTATGACTCAATTGCACATTCGTTACTGAAGGCATTTCTGTCTTAATATATTTACTTAAAGGCTGTGCACAGGAATCGGTTACATCCCTCTCTGGGACACCCGGACAACTTACTTCAGCTGGACGCTCTGTGCCAAGAGGAAATAAAAAGGCAAAAAGACCACGCTGATGGTGTTCACCTCAACACGCAGATGCTGCAGGTACTTGTAAAGCCGTTGCTTAACGTCATCTTAGATGTTGCATTTGGAAAGGAGAGTACATCTTGGGTGCACTTTTCCTCCCCATCAAAAGTAAACTGGAAAGTGTTTTCAGTTTTAGGCAATCCTGTCCATATATCTTTTAACTTTTAAGTTCTATATTATCAGCATTAGATCGATATATCCATAAATGCATATGCACATGTACACATGCATAGATTTATTGGGGAACTAACTGATCTTTTGTATCATTCATAGAACATACTGAGGAAGAGATGACTTGTCTCTTAACGGTAGAATGGTTGGATATAATTCTAAATTTGGAGTAATAGTGACATCCTCTGGTTAGTTATTTTACTTGCAGATGACAGATGCCTGGAAGGGTTTCTTCTGTGTGAATTTCATTAGTGCAAATATTTGACATTTTGCTACATAAGATTAAAAACAGGAATAAGGAGATTTTTATGGGAGAGAGATTCAGGAATTGAAACACTTTTCCTGCTCCATCTTCTAGGGATACTGATGGTCAGTTCCCCAGCATTAAAGCACTTTGTTTACTTACTCAAAATCCTAGATTTTTTAATTCCAAAGTAATATCTCCTTCTCCTCTTAGCCCATACACACACAGAAAGACACCCTGTTTTAGAATAATACCCAGCCGAAGCACTTCCACCCAAAGTAGCCATATTCCAAAATGGCCTTTGCTTTGGCAGGAGGAGGCAGTTACAGATAGCTGTTTTTATCAGGTTTGGATGCTTAAACCAAATATACAGCTACTGGGCCACTATACACAGAACTCTGTAGCTTTTTGTACTCTACCTTAGGCAGTCGGGTAGCGCTGAGAATACTGCAGAGAGGCGCTTGTAGACCCTTTTATGTGCAACGCAGGGCCTTACATCTGTTATTTGCAGCTGTTGCAAAGTGTCAAGGTTGAACACTTGTGTAGCTCTTTTGGAGCTAAACTAACAGGAGAGGAGATCAAATTATCAAAGGAATTCCTCTCACTTGTCTCCAATGTCCCAACAGGACTGTGCTGCTGAGTGTGCTCAGAACTTTGTTTCTGCGCTCGCTGCCTTCACTGAAAAGCTGCTTCTGGAATTAGATGAAACTATCACTATTGATGATGTGGAAGTAGCAAGTAAGTAAAGAAGAGATTGCTTGTTCGGGCCTCTGTTTCCTTCTCAAAGATCGCAGCAGCCTTTCCCTAGGAAGAGGAGACTTTATATGCTATAGTACTTTAAATGGAAAGATTTGCATGCAAAGTTATTTCTTGAAAGTGAAGAGCATCTAGCGGTGTATAGTTACTTCAAAACAATGACATTACTGCCATGGTTTTGTGGCTGCTGAGTTTATCCTCTGTTACCTCCCAGAAACTGAAATACCAAGAGAGAAGACCTCCACTTTAATCCGCCGTAAACAAGCTGGGCTTCCTCTAGAAATCTGTGAAGTTGCACAGTTAACGGGACGTGGGAGCAGGTAATATTTGAAGATATCGAACACTGTTCTATGGAATTTCTCTTCTCTAAACTGGTGTCAGGCACTGTCCTCGTAGTTTTTTGCTGAAACTGCTGAATACAATGCTCATCATTAGTGATGTAGTTTCACTAGTTATGGGGCGGTTTGGGTTGGTGGTGATTTTAAAGAAAGAGTAGAAATGGTTCCAAATAAAAGTGAATTATGTATTGTATTGTAAAGCAGTCTAATTTCAATATTATTGCTATGCCACTTTGCTGGCCACTGTTTATCAATTCAGCACTTTCAGATCTATGAATACACTGCATATTTTCACTCAGAAGATATGAGTTGTGTTTACTGCGCAGAGATCCTGAAGTTTTAAAAGAAAATCTGGTTGTACTAAATAAGCTAGTTTTCAGGGTAAATCCTTTGTGGAAAAAAATGATTTTAAGTACAAGAAACATCAATTAGTATGATCTGCTCTCTTTTCTAACTTTCTCTCTCATGTGTTTTTTGGTTGGTTGGTTTGTTTTTTTAAAGGACTTGGCCAGGAATACCCGTGACTACTCTCACAGACAATTCCGACTACATCCTTTGCAGAGAAACCGTATCAGTTACCACAACTAAGACTACCCTGGCCCACGTAGCAGCAGTAGAAACAAGAGATGCCGTATATAAGGTTGGTCTGTGGGAAAGGACTGTGATTCGGGCTGCTGCTGTTGTGGGTTTGTTTTTTTTAAGAAGAAAATTACGGCTAAGTTAAGTTTTTAATATACACACTGTTGTCAGATCTTAAAGCTGTATTTCTGTATCTAGTTGTGGCATCTAAGCACGTGGTTACAGTGCAGTTTTGAAGTGAACGTAGTCTGCCAGCAGGCTGTCATACAGTAAATGCATGCCACAGAAGTATTTTCCTGAATGCATGTTGCATTAAAAATAGAGTATTTTGTATTTTGGAGCTTAGACTCTTGAATAAAGGTGCCTTGAGGTTTTCATGGCAGTCTGCAAGTTTTCTGTTCAGGTGAACTACCTGTTTAGCAGCTTTGTAATAGTTCAGTTCGTGCTCGTGACTTAGGAGGTTCTGGCAAGAGCAGGAGTGCATTCTGGGTTTGAGATGCGCCCTCTCCCCTCTCTCCTCTAGAGGAGGCAGCTCTTTAATCTTAGGAGCTAATGGAAGTGAGGTGAAGATCTTGTACTTTTAGCAAAATTTAAATATTTCTGCTAATTTAGTTTCAGAATTAAAAGGAACATAGAAGGAAGGCAGTGGATAAGTCATTGTTCGTATAGTTCTGTGGTCAAAGGCAGAAAATAAGCGGCACGTATGCAATCTTCTGACACAGTAGATCAGGACCTGGATTTAGGCAAAGTAAAATTATATTTCATCACTACCAATTTTGTCCTTTGTTGTTATTGTTGTTTATACAGAAATACAGATGTAAACTTGAGCAGCAGTTTGCCCAGGTCAAGGAAGAAAGTACAGCTCAGCTGCTGACAATTCAGCGTTGGGAAGATTGGTGGAAACGATCCGTTCAGAAGATTAAGCAACTCTATACATGAGATCAGTCAAATCTTGCCGATGTCCTTCTGATCATTGTGGGCATAAACTGACAAGTTTGTACAAATGTCAGTGATGTCATAGATTTAGTTGAACAGAATTTTCTTTTTTTATTTTAATTTCTGTTGCACTGAACAAGTGCGATGGTGAAAGGAGCTATTTTTTCTTCTTGAAAAAAATCTGACGAATGTGCTGTAAGTGAAGTGTAGACTCTGTATAGTACTTCCTAGTTGGATCTCAGCCAGAGTAAAGTTAACTCATTGTGGTGCTAGCTTTAATAGGAGAATCTGAAAAGCTAGAAGCCCAAGCAGTGGATTTGTACTGAAGTTCATGTTCAAGACTCAGGCGTGATTGAATATGTCTGTGTCACGGCGCAGTCTGAGGTTGTAACGGTCAAAGGCAGCCTCTTGAATAATGGAGTCCAGCAAAGAAGATTTTTCTTTGGTGCAGATGAAGCCCTTCCTGTGGATATCCTCTCTCTCTTCACGTTCTGAACGACGCTGCGCTCACAGCTCGCCACTTCAGTTTTAGAAATTGGAAATGCAGGTTTAGAATCTGGAATCATTCGCTCTGCAAAGAATATTTTCCATGGAACGGTCTACAAGTGAGGTATTTATCTGCAATCCAGAATGCTTTCCAAGGCAGGGCTTGAAGATAAAGCACTGCTTTGTTCTGGGAGGTCAAGCAAGTTCATTTGGCAGTAATATAGCTACTTTCAACCATATCGCTTTTAAAAAAAACCTCTGAGCAAATTCAAGGAACTATGAAAAATGCTTTAGCTGTTTTTTGTGTTTGTTAGGAGAGTCTGTCATTAACTGCAACCGCATCTATTTCATTTTTGTTTGCATTCATTGTGAACTCTAGAGTTGTAAATCAGTTGAGGACAAACATGGTAAAAGTCAATGACATGGTTTTAGCTGCAAGGAGACGTTCTGAACTCATCTGGCTCCTGTGTGCTTGCAGCTTTGTAACACAGAAACTGGAGCAAAGGGGGAATGAATCAGCTGTGCTCCTAGTGATGCAATATTTCAAAATATGTGTTATTACTTTTCCTGAGGGATTAGATGTTTACTTGGTAAAGACACATGGAAGTACACTATGCCTATTACAACAGCTGAAGCTGCACTAAAATAACCAGAACGCCCATGTCTCTTTTTTTATTCTGTGTTAATTTTACTATTCAGTTTCAGGATAACTTTTATTCTCCTTCCTCTTCTCTGTTCATTATCCTCTGTCCTTTCCCATCACCCAAGTTCTATGCTGTCAGGTTCTATGCCATGGCAGTAAGTGCATGAGGATGGTCAGGTGCAGAATTGAGAATCCCCAGGAGACTATCTGCAAAGTGGTACTGTCTTTATGTTTTCATTTATGCTTTGGGGGAAAATTTTGAGAGGATGTTTTTTTGAAATTGGAAAGTGGTATCAAGCTGGGAGGGGCTGCAATTACCACGGAAAACAGAATTCAATCAAGGTGTGATGTTTTAGGAAAAACAAATAGCCTGAAAATGGAGAATAATTCTGTAAAGTCAAGCACAAGGCTTTATGTGTCACAGACGTGGCTAGGAGAGGTTCTGTAGAAAACATGTGTGGATTATATTTGGCCACAGGCAGAATGTCGTCATCAGTGCTGTGCTCTTGGAAAGCAGGGAAATATCATATGGGAATTTATGAACTGTCAGAGCATTTCAGTTTTGTGGGGTAACCTGCTTTAGTCAGTACTGGTGAGGGCTCAGCAGAAGTACTTGGTTTGGTTTGGCACCACATTTCAGCAGAAAGGACTGATTAGAGAGAGTTCAAATGGAATTGACAGAAATAATCACAGGTCTTGAAGTTAATCTACAAAGAAAGTTTGAAGAAGTTGTGATGGTTGAGCTCACAGAATAGAAGAGGGAAAGAAACATCATGTCCTTCAGGCATGTAAAGGTGCGTGATCACTGCCACCAAAAGGCGTGGACCTGAACGGCAGCGAGTGAGATCCTGGTTGGAAATGAGGAAGCCTGATGAGAAGGGCAGTAAGGCACGGGCACAGGTTGCCTACCCCCCTATGCCTAGCCAGCTCTCAAAGAATGACTGAAAAGCAACTGTTTGAACCCCGCTCTGCACGCTTGTCCGTTTTCAGTGTGCTGGAGGCATCAAGCACAAGGTCAGATACGTGGCACCGAAGGAGCCCCACATCGGTGTAGCAGCTCTCGTTACAGAATTAGCCCAGGATTTGGGTAAAACTGGTCAAAGCACAGAATAACAGCTGGAGAGGAAAGCCTGGCTGCAAATCCTTCTACACTTGTAGATCTGCAGCATTTTTAGGCAAGAATCCAGAACTGCTTAGCATGAATCCCTGAAGGCTTTAAATGGTGGAAGGCCTCAAGACATATATATATATTTAAATTTTTTTTTAAGTGGGATTTTTGAGGTGCTTCTTGGTGAAAGCTGATTAGATTGGTTGACAAGAGGGTGAGGAAGAAGGACCAGAGAGGCTTTCTGTATGGCAGGATAAAGACATTTTTGTTACCTGTCTTTTTATAACCAAAGAAATTAAAGTGGGGAAATCACCACTGCCTTTTCAGATCCATTGGTACTGCTGTATGCCTTACCAAGAGCCAGGACAGAAAAGATCCCTGTGATGTTTACTTCAGCCTTCCCGAAAGAAGTGCCCTGTACCGGTTCCTCCCACTAACATCAATGCTATGACTGTCTATAAATAGGAGCTTGACAAGCAGCCTCCCACCCCGCTCCCCAGGCTCCAGTCACACGCTAGAAAGTGCTTTTCTCTGACTCGAGACTGCATGGCAGCCCGTAGAGCAGCAGCCTGGGAAGCTGCTTTGCAGAAGAGCGCTTTAGGTGGACGCAGAGAATGCCACGGAGGCAGAAGTGAGGGTGCCTGCACGAGAGCCTGACCTGCAGTACCGCAGCTCTGCCTTCACCAAAGGTAACAATGAACGTAGCCTGTAACAGTTAACGTGCTTGGAACAAGCCCCTGTGGAGGCCACGTGCAAAGGCTTTGTGTGTTTGTCCCAGGTCCCGTGAGTCACGCTGTGGGAACCTTTGCCTCCCTGGGAACAGAAAAGAGATTAATTTGAGCTTTTAAAGTAAGACAGCTGAGCTGGGGGAAGTTGATGTTTATGGCTGCTAAGAAGGGAGTAAGCGCTCTGACTTACAGAGAAATATCGTTAGCCAATATGCATTGTCATTGTGGAGCGTTTCTTTGCTTGTGTCGGACTTCAGCTTGCCTTTCTCCTGCATGCGCTGTTGGAGGGAGATGTCTGGTAGTTCCTCTTCTGTCAAAGATGGAATTTACCAGCTAAAATGATAACTGGATTAGCTCTCCGTATCACCTGGTATGACTGGTTGTGGTGAGTTCATGAAATTGCAAAGGGTATGTGCTTTAGATTAATAAGTGGAATCTACAGGAACTAGAATCAAATGAGGAAAGGCTCCCCACGCACTTGTAACTGTGATTACGTCTTGCCGAAATGGAGAGGTTTCTCAAAAGGTTTACAGGGACTGCCTCAGTGACCAAGTGGCCTGGCTGTTACAGTCCGGTTCCTTCCGTGTTCCTGATTTCAGAAAGACTGAGTTAAAGTGAAACTGCTTGGAGAACCTCATGCTCCTATGATGAAATAATACATTTCTCTCATAGTAGGATATTTATAGCAAATTTCCCTTGCTTTTTTGTTCTTTGCAGATTGAAAGCTGCTGGGAGTAGGAAGCTGCCCTTCCTTCCTTCTACTCTAGAAGACATGATTTCCAGGAAACTGTTGGGATCTCTTGTTTGTCTGTCAGTTGTTACCACATTTATCTGGTAAGCATTTGCTGGCAAGCTTGGTCATATTTAAAACATCCTGTCTATATCTATACTGTGGTAAAAAGCATAGTAGCAGAAAAAATGCATTTTATGGAAAGCCCCTGTTAGAGCAGTAAGAATGAACAGTAATTTGTATAATAGATAAAGTAACACTAGTAGAGGGAGAAGCCTCTGAAGGGAGAGAGGAAAAAAAGACCAGTTGTGACTAAATTAGGCTAACGCCATACCTGCCTCACAAACAAGTGCTCAAGTACAGAATATTCTGGTTACATTTCAGTTAAGGCATTAAAAGAGATTATCTGTCTCTTCAAACAGTCCAAACTCCAAAGTAACTGGGGATAGCTTTGTAGCTATCACACACTGTTGCTTTCCAACGCTGAGAATGTTTGTAGCTTTGGGTATACTTACCGAGTATGCCTTGCAGATTCTCTTGAGCAAATATAAACATTGTTTGAAAGGAATCTGAGATCAGGCATTTCTATTAACTATTAAATCATTAGTTATTATTAATGATACTGTATTTCTGATGTTGCAATTTGCTCTGCTTTCACATTGTGGGTGGTTGCACTTCATCGATAGTTAAGTGATTGTATATAAAAATCTATATAGATTGTGATCAAAACTGAAGGGAGAAAAAAGCCCATGCAGCCTTTCTCTGCTACACAAACTAAAGGATGCCCACACAGCATTTAAAGTTCCAGGAAGTGTCAGCATGTCACATCAGTGCATGTTGCATATTTATCCATTTTGAGCATTGCCTTGTGTACCTCCGTTTGTGTATGCTTTTAAAAAACATGCAGACCTACGCTTTGGAGACCACTTGATGTAAATAATAATACTTAGACCTCATGTTACGAGCTGGATGCTTCTGGACTCATTTTCTCCTGCCTTTCCCATTTCTGCCTTAGCAGCAGTGTATGATGTTAAAACATGACTACACCGCATCCTATGCTAATTCGCGCCGTTAGCGACAGTCACTTCTCAAAGTATGTGCCAGATTCTGGAAGATCTTGGAAAATCCTAGGAAGATATCTTTCAACATTACCTATCTTAAAATGTTTCTTTGCTGTCACAGGATTACAATTGGGAACGGAAAAGTGCACTACCTCCCATATTACCTTCCTTGCCCTGAGATCTTGTAAGTATCCCATTTTGTGTGTAATGGGTAACGCAGGTCCTTGTTACAGGAGCTGCACTTCAC